GCGTGTGCGTGTGTGCGTGCGTGCGTGCATGACCGTACCCTCGCAAGGTACACCGAGCAAGTGCCTGCATCTCTTTCTTCTTGTTCTCTGTGTTTTCGAGGTCGTCGGCACGCTTGCCTTCTTCGGCCTCTTTCTTCTTTGCTTCATCCTGGCCACCAAGAGAGCAAACTTCTTTGGGAATGTGAGAGCTGTGGAAGCTTCGAATCTGTTTGGAAAGCATCGGCGTGCCTTCAGCCAGGGGGTCTGCGACATCAGGATCCCGAGTTTGTACTGCAAGATCAGTGCGATCAAAGTGATGCCACATTGACAATTCATGAAGGCATGGTTTGGCAACCCTGGAAATGTGACTATCTGACTGTCTCTCTGTTACTTCTTTCACACATTGCAATCTCCTCAGCAGCATTGTACTCTGGCACCACCGTCTCAAGGGTCTTGCGTGCCTCAGCAGTGACTGCCTGCTGTTGGCAATGTTTCACACCTCCTGACTCCTGTTTCGGTGCCGAGTGTCGTCGTCTGCCTTCTGCTTCAAATCGTCACGTCGCTTCTTTGCAATTGCCAAAGCAACCAAATGAGCCTTGACAAGAGCAAGAAGCGCTTAGCCACCTTTGGGCCGGCCGCATATGCCGCACATCGCGCCTTGTAGGCATCCTCGGCTTTCTTCGTGTTCGCATGCGACTGACCATAGAGGTCGGCGACCCGATCGACTTCAGCAGCTTGTCTGTCCACATCCTGGAGCACGTGCACGAGTCAATCAAACAACAGCCGGCGTCAGCGCATCCACAAGTCGGCTTTAAAGGGCCTCCTTGTTGCGACTCATGGTCGCAGAAGTGTGTGCCACAGCTTCAGCCTTTCACGACGTTATCTCACTTGCGGACTTGCGCGGCCAGGACAGTACGATCACTGTTCTGTCCACACCACATTGACAGGTCGCTGTGACACTACTTCTCATGCCTGCGGCTCACGGCCGGTACTCAAATACTTGGAACACGCCAGAATTCGAGCAAAGAGCAAGACTGCTCGTCCGGTGAATGGGAATCCTCGTGCCGGACAAGGTCCAATTGGTCTTTCTTCTCGCTCGACAACAGCACTTCGACATGTAACTCCGGTCCAAAACTCGGTGAGGCTTTTTTGGCATCATTATCTTCTTGCAAATGCAGATTGTCACAATCGAAGCAACTGGCCTGGTCGTGGACCAGGTGTGTGAGATTATCGTGCTGGTCGTTGAGAGCTTTCAACTGGGGGTCCTGCAGAAAGCGGTCAATAGACAGTCACTGGCGGTGACTCAAGCACGGGGTTCTGTCCGTGCCGCGCTTCGTGACAACCTCCGTGTGGTTCTTTAGGGCCACGGTGTGCCCCGGTGCGGGGCCCGCGCTGACCGGTGCAAAAGCCGCCAGCTGGGCCTCTGCTCCGAAGGAAACTGCCAAGGCTCCGCCGGAGGGCCTTTGCTCTGGGGCCGCGGACCAGTGAGGCCTCCCACCGAAAGTCACTGCAAGTTTTTGCGAAAAAGCCCAGTCAATTGAAGCTGCCGCTGCAGACCTGTTGCTTTGGTAGCTCCGACTTATTGAGAAAATCATCGAGGGTCTTCTCAACCTGACCACTCGAAACCCTTGCGAGCATCATGCGATTCTTTTCTATCAAGGAAACTTGTTCTAAGCAAGTCTTCTGACCTCCTGACGCTCGCCGCTAGTCAGGTTCGCCGCCTGGAGGGCCCTCTCGACCTGAGCCATGGAAGCACGGCTCAGCACCTGACAAGGCGCACAAATACCCAGGCGATCGGGCGTCGTCGTCGTACCTGAGAGTGGGCTAGACAACGACGACCGGGACTGCCTAAAATATGAACTCGATGCGATCGTGGAGCTTCGGCGCGTCTTTGTGAAATGGTCTCTTGGCAGCCTCAACCTAGACGCCGAGGGAGTGCGAAGGCTTCTCCTTGCTTCAACGTGGGCTCCAGGCCATCGAGGCTTGGCCATTTCCGTCCAGTTCAACAAGCACGGAACTTGGAGCTTCCTGCGGCATTATGGCAACATGTACAAGAAAAATGTACAAAATGCAAAGTCGACTTCAAGGCTCCTCCGGCAAAGCCGTGCCCAGAGCGAGGAAGGAGATCACGAGCTTGAAGAGCGCCTTCTCAAGCATCTTGGAACCTGCCATGGCAGGGAAGAAGGCCAGGAAGCTCAGACGAACCCGTCTGAGCTTGCGGCGCGAAATGGAGACGTCCTGACAAACCTAAGAACAGCATGCGGCGCATGCGGCAGCCGGGCATCCAAAGGGCACACCTCGTGCAGCATTTAAGCTGCTGGCAGATGCAACCCTGAGGGTTTCCAGGGCTGGAGCCACACTGCGATCGCGACGTGGATGATGTGGAAGCAGAAGGCACGTGCACTGCCGGTTCACAGCTCGGGAATCGCAGCTACCACCTTTTTGGACTGGCCATCGCATCAACTGCAGCGCAACCAGTACGCATCAGCTAGAGAAATCGGCCAGACTTCCCCGTGTGCTGCACAAGGCCATGGTGAGTTCTTCCTGCGTATTCGTGTACACGAATGGCCGCCTTTCTGTCTATCTGTCACACGCAGATGAGAGTCCTCTCTTGTCTCCTAAAAGAAGACAGGGCTCTACAAAGAACAGCCTCTTCCTCTCTGGGAAGCTATGTCGCGAGCGCTGGCACAGCACAAGGCCTTTCCCCACTGGCCAAGTGTACGCTCAGCCTGGTACACAAACATCCCAAACCTGAATGGCAATGAAAACTTCTGCGAATACCTACGCATCAATGTCCCCAACAATAGCCAGCTCCCAATCCAATGCTCTATTGTTACAGACTCAATGCCACTGCGAAACAGACTCCAGACAAAAGATGTGGCAGCTGCCTGTCTGACAAAGCCTACTCCTACAGTAAATTCTGTAGCAAGTTTGCTGGAAAATATTCATGTCATGATTCTCCTGGTCATCCTCCACGGAGGTCATGTCCAGAAAACATTACGGAATAATGCTCTTCAATGCAACGATAAATGCTCACTGGAGCATGACCAGTCCGAGCAAGCAGTCTCTTTCGTGCCAAGGACCGTCCACCCTGTGAGTGGCCGTGACAAGTGTCAACGAGCATCCTCAAAGCTTCTAGGATAACCTAGCGGTGGCTTGCAGCTGTTTGCAGAGGCTACTGGGACCCAGATCTTGCTGACACGTTGTGTTTCCTCTTCTGCTGGCGTCTTGCCACGAGGATTTGCACAAAACTTCCAGTCCTCTCTCGAACCTACACGTGGAAGGCCAAGCTGCACTGTGGCCAAGTCGATTTAGTCTCGGATCCTGTGAAGATGCGTTTATCTACCTAGCCAAATCTGGAATGATGTGGCTCTGTCTAGTTAGTTCCCGATGCAGGACTCGCATTCCTTTAGCGGGAAAATCCAGGAAGCATCACAGGAAGTAGTCCGGCACAAGCTTTCTCGAGGGTTGCCCTCGTGCGTCTGCTGGAGCAGCCTGCGTCATAAGTTAAACAGGAAGTACAAGACGGATGCGGGGATAGCTCTGACAATCGACGCACTGGCTCAGCAGATTGGATCAGCTCGATCCTGCCTCAAAGATGCGGAAAGATTGCTTCAAGTTCTCGTCAAACTCTAGAATCGCAGCCACATTCCCACACCTGCTTTCAAGACGAAAGTCGCCGCAAGCCGTGCAACACTGACAAGACCTGAAGTCCGCTCCTGCACTGAACTTTGCTGAGGCCAGCGCCGGTAGCAGTAGTTTGGCGCAGACCAGACAGTCACAAGAGCCTGCCGAAGAGAACAGTGCAACCACTCAGACAGCAGAGCTCGCAATCACGGACTTCATGCGAGCCTCATTGAACATCCACTTATAGCCGTCCATGACTAGCTGATGAGCACGTCCAATGAGCTCAATCCCATTTGTATGGTTGAACCTCACACCACATCACTCAGCTTACTCAGTGGTTCACTCAATAGGAAAGCAGAACGGATTCTCGTTGCACAATGTTGTGCTAGCACTACATGGAGGCGAATCGTCAGAGTTTGATTCATTCCAGTGAGATGGCACTGGATGCGACTGAGCAGAAAAGCGAGTTCAAGGTGCCGACCCCTTGACAACGTCAGCACCGAAGAGATAGCCGGCACCTCTCGGGGACAGACCCCAGCCGTCTAGGTCCTTCAAGATCCAAGGCTGCGTTCGTGCTGGAGGTGATTTCAAGCTTGGGGAAGCAGCAGCCTTTGGAGAAATTTGGAACCCGTCCTCTGGATCTGACCACATAAGGTCGCACATGGCACCCTCGTGAGGGACCTTCGAGCAGAGACAGGGTTCTCTGGAACACAGCCATACAGAAATGCTTTTGTTACTGCATCTTCCTACAGCATAGCGGCATAGCACCCGTCGCTTTCAGCGAGCCTCCTGCTTGCGATCGATGCTGCGCACATCGTCCAAAGTGTTGATTGCAGGAGATAGCCCGCCGTGGACACAGAAAACGCGATCCTGACATCTGCAAAACAGATCATAAGGGCGCTTTTAACACCTGGTACCGGGCAAAGATCAGTGAGTTGCCTCGATGAGCGCAGCCAAGGCTAGGTAGTCGAAGATCTCTGTACAGTATCGCCACCTGAGAAAGTTTAATCACTTCCTGTCTTTTGTGTGGAATCTTGTGGGCGCTCACTCTACTCACTCTGCGCTGCCAAGCCACACATTCACGCTACCATACTTTCGGAGGCATTCGTCGTAGAATCCGTAAACCTGCGGGCGACTCAACGAACACGGCTAAACCAAGCCCTGAGCCCTGTCAAGACTGTCTCTGCCTGAGTTATCTGGCGGCTTTCATGGTTGCCCCGTATCAGCATTATTCGGTCGGGATAGCGTACCTGCAAAGAGGCGCGCAAAAACACTCCGAACAAACTGCGCCAAACGGGTTTCTGCGCCTTCAGGGCCAATAACAGCAGGAAAGTCTCCACCTTGCAATGGGACGGAAGGCACCCACAAGCAAACATCTTCCACCACATGCAAGTCATTTTGAGGGACCAACACTGTAGAATCCTCTGTCAACGAAGTCGCCCATAAACAAATAGTTTGTCTCTGGGCAATCACCACCTACCTGCCACGAAAAACACAAAGCTGGCAATCGAAAATCTAAGATTGCACCGGCCTTGAAGAGTTCCACCAGATCATAGAACTGCCCGTGGATGTCTCCGCAAATCTGAGCACAAACAAAGCACATATCTGAAGCCTGCGTGTGTTTGTGCTCGCGCAAAAGAAACAGCTCAGCGCCCTGCTGTGACAGGAGCATCTACTCGCTGCACATTGCATTCCTCGACGAGGATATCCCGTGCTTTCGAGCACAGGGCCTGTGACAAGCGCTCGTTCCACATAGGATTGACAAAAGGAGAGCCGCAGAACAACTTGATCGCTTCACAATTGCGCAAACATAGAAAACCAAGTGCCCGTTCAGAGCAGCATGCTAGGACCACATTAATTCGTGCTTGTTCTTCCATGTCACAAGCTTCGAAATCCGACAAGTATTGCCAAGCTGCTTTGACTTCTGCTTCTTTGATGTATTCGCACCTGGCACGAATAAACATATGGAAATCTGCCTCGCATGAATGTGGTCATCGACTCTGCCATGTCCTTGCCATACAGTCAAACAGCTTAGTGCTTGCGGCACTGGCAGCTCAGGTACTTACAAGAACGGCCGGGCCCGCCTTTTGAGCTGATCGATTTGTCTATCTAGGTCTGAAACTCCCATGGCTTCTTCAGCCGCACATTCCAAAATTACGCACACTTGAACCGACGGCAAAGCGAAATGAGTATAATCAACAATAAGCTATCCAGGGGTTGACGTCCCATGCAGTACAATCAAATGCTGACCTTGCAGCAACTATAACTATGTCATTGCACACTGGCAAACAGTATGAATATGATGAGTTTGCAGCTTCATCCCATATCACGACACCGATGCTATCATGATGTCACCAGTGGAGGAATGGCGGTCGAAGTCCCGGCCCTTGGATGTATGGGCGCCGCTCACCATGTCGTCTGCAATAAGTTGCAAAAATCCACGAAAGACTACCCCTTCGCTCCAAGACCCGGAAACTGCAGATGCACCCACGCCAAGAAAATCGCGGTCGGAGTGCCTGCATTTGGCAATTTGGTGCGTGATAAACCCGACATTTTCGACAAAACAAGCTGCATGCTTTATGCGAAATCTCAAACTTACCATCACATGGCTTCCTGCTAGCCTTGTGATGATCTGGCCAGTGATAACCTCATGAATGTTGCTGAAAGACGTTGATGCGTTACACATGAGTTAGCACGTGCGTGGAACGTGTGGAGACGGGCCTTTGAATCCCATATACACGCTTTGCCAACGTAGGTTTATACCATGCTATGCAAACTCACACAAAGAGAGGTTGTCAATCAACTGTCTTTTTTGCGCTGCGGTCCGCGGCTAAGCTTATGGGTCCTGGAATTGCATGTGGCGCAGAAGTGTCCAAGTGAGGTGCGCACGTGATGACTTGGCCCATGAGCATCAACTGCCTGCGCAGCCAAGCCATTCTAGCATGAATCATTTTCTCGTAGTGGGAGTTTGAAATGCGAACCCAGCTGTACTTGCGAAAAAAGTCACTCTAAGCACTGCTTTGAGCCACCTAGGGGAAGAAGCCGAGCTACAGGCGTGTCAATGCCTCGGAAAAATGCCTAAACGCGACACCTACTGTAGAAGTTTGAAACAGACAAGCAGATCCAACACAATCAACAACCAGTTTGCACAACAACTTGTGGTTTTGCTTGCGAGACACAGTGGTCCAAAATCGAATGCTTCGCCATGGTCATTGCGCGGATATGGTCACGGCAAGAGTCGTTCAGCAATTAATTACCCGTCTCTGTGAAAACACAGCAGCAGCGCGCTGAACCCTCTTTTTCTCTCACGGCTTGAGCCAAAGTCGTAGCCGGAGGCTTCGTCAGTGAAACCTTTAAACACAAGGTGAAAACTGTGC